GGTAGTCCATTTCAATATCTTGGATCATTGAAAAATACATATGCCTAACCATCCATCGAACCTTGCATCCAGAAAATACAATAAAATAGCGAAGCGAAATAATGAGAAGGAAAAAAAATTAAATAAATGGTATAATGTTTTGCTTACATATGACTATCAGTATTAAAATATGTTAGTCAAATTTGATTCATCCTCTAAATATTAATTAACCAACAAAATCTTTAAAATATATTTAATTTGTTAACAATTACATCTAGTGCCATTGAAAGATATCACTAATTAATCTCCGTGTATCTTCTATATATCCTCTATATATTTAGTTATATTTTAAAAGTTTTCCGTTTTTGTCATCTATATATATTTTTATTTATATGATTAATTTACGTAGCAATCAGTTTCAATTGTCTTCTGCAGTACTTGCATGCCATTCATCTAGTATATCTATTAAATACAAACCTAAAGTTGTATGATTTTATAATAATAGTTCAAATTTTGTTTATTCAAAATAAATCATAATGTATATCTTTTTTTTTGTTCGACATGTATATCTTTTGTAATAAATATAAAAAGTAAATAAATGGCAATGCCTATAATACTTTAATTTTTTCCCAAATGAAAATTTTACAAGCCAGGCTTCTTGCTTTAGCCACAATATGACTAATGACTACCACGTAGAATCAAAATCTCTTGATAAAGAGAAATGAGTTGTCGTGGTAACCGAGTCATATTCGTCATAAGAACCCATTGGCTTCGCACACATCGGGTTTTGACCGACCGCTTTTGGCACTCTCAGATTCGTGTGGTTGGAATGTTGACAAAAAAAATCAATGGTTGAATACAAAAATGTCGGGTGGTCCATTGTGGCAAAGGTTCCTAGATCCATTCTTTTTAAAAGCGCATCAACTTGGTGAAATAATTCTACTTTACCAAGTAGCTGCTGGTTTACAAAGCGGGTGGGATGAATCTTCACCGCAAAAAGTCCTTGAGAGTTTTCTTCTTCTTTACATTCCAGTGTGCAATTAGATTTTCACTTATGTTTTCTTTAGTGCTTTTACTCTCATTGGTACCACACGTCTTTCCTCATCCGGTGAGATTGCAACATTAATCCCACCATCAGTGAGATTGGTGTCTATAAAATAAATCTCACTATTATAAGAACAATGATAATTCCCAGGTCAACAAAAATTCAAGACTTTGGTCTAAAACAAAAGTCTTAAACTTGTCAAATCCAGTTACAAGTGAAAGGAACAATTCAAAGTATTTGTTTGAACATGACAATGACTAGCACGTAGAATCAAAATCTCAAATTTCTAATAATTTTCCCCAAATTTCGTCAATACTTATTGAGATTAAATTTGATTTTGGGTTGAACTTAATTATGGATCCATGATCTTATTATCCTTTTGGACCAACCTCAATATTAAGTCGAAGTTCTACACTTTCTCAAGAAATACCTTAGAAGG